GTTGTTCTGTGGTACAGTTAAGTGTTGTGTTTATATAGTAGTCAACGTTGTTCTGTGGTACAGTTAAGTGTTGTGTTTATATAGTAGTCAACGTTGTTCTGTAATACAGTTAAGTGTTGTGTTTATGTAGTAGGCTGCATTGTTCTGTGGTACCGTTAAATGTGTTTTTAAAGTAGACTACGTTGTTCTGTGGTACAGTTAAATAGTCTGTACATATAGTAGTCAACGTTGTTCTGTGATACAATTAAACATGGTGTACATGTAGTAAGCTACGTTGTTCTGTGGTACAGTTAAATGTTGTGTTTATATAGTGGACTACGTTGTTCCGTGGTACAGTGAAACGTTGTGTACATATAGTAGGGAACATTGTTCTGTGGTGCAGTTAAACGTTGTGTACATATAGTATGGAACATTGTCCTATGGTGCAGTTAAACGTTGTGTACATATAGTATGCAACATTTTTCTATGGTACAGTTAAATGTGTTTCTTTTGTAATCAACGTTGTTCTGTAGTACACTTAAGTGTTGTGTTTATATAGTAGTCAACGGTTTTCTGTAATAACGTTAAGTGTGGTGTGTATATAGTAGGCTACGTTGTTCTGTTGTTGAGTTAAATGTTCATTTGACTGTCCCCAAGAATAGCTCATTTCTAAATATGTTACAGCATAGATGACAGTAGAAGTCGTATGTCTATGAGCTGTGAAAAACATTTCAAGATAAAAACCAGTCAATTAATAAAACTTTCTCCCATCGTCCAGCTCAGCTGACGATTTTTGATATCAAACTAAAGGCCTTCAGATTGATCTGAAATGCAATTTTTTACACATCTTTAATTCGTTATCTGAAACGGGAACATCTACAGTTTTACATGATTTTTAACACAAATGTTAAGTCCATGTGCACGTGTAAAATGGTTAAATTTGATGATTATCAAGCTATCGACATTTGTTTTCATAACATGTTTAAATTAAATCGTGTAATTTCTGAAAACCCTCCTTAGTAATAGTAATATAAATATAAGTGTTATTAAATTCTTCAATTTATTTTAAACCCTAATTTTGTCATTTACTGGATATTCACAAATTATGATCCTAAGTCATTCACTAAGTTGTTTATTTGCGCTTTTTCAATTCACTTACAATTCAGTTCTCTTTCATTTGTAAAAATTTTGATTTGTTTGAAAATAATATGTTTTATAAATCAGTTGCAAAACCCTTTCACTAGTAATAGATAATGATTGGTTGAGTGTTTCTAGTTTTTCTAAAGCAGCTTAGTAATTAAGGTACTTTTACTCATAAGTAGACATAATATTTTCATAATCACCTTTTGTTGTTAAGAAAGACTTACTCTGAGCTGTCGTTGTTTCTCTTTCCAAACATAGCAACTGCCTGGAGAAAAGCAGATTAGAAGAAACGGCACTTACATGTAACTTATTCTGTATCATCGCGTGAATTTTCTTTTTTAGAATAATGTGCAGTTCACGAAATTGTAGCCGTGAGGAAACATTCTTTTAGTGATTTTTAAGACTATAGCAGGTAAAATAATAAGATCATGACCAGTTGTAGGCAGTCTGATTGTTTATATAATTTTACATGATGACTGTCTTCACTTGTTTCGTATTCACGTGTTGATGTTCGTATTATATCTAAAACCTCTATTTTCTTGAAATATAGGTTTTGACGAGTCATGATGAAGCTTACATTTTTGTTAAAGTTCTGACTTCATGTTTCTCATGCTTTGTTTGTTTATTGTTAAGCACAAAGCTAATTATTTATTGGGCTATTTGTGATCTTTCAACCAAGGGTATCTAAACCCGATTTTTAGAGTTATATGTTCTCAGACTTACCGCTGAGCCACTGAGGGATCTTTTATTATGCTATTTTAATCTAAAATAATCTTATAGATAAATTAACAAATTCCTTTAAAATACACTTAGTTACTCATTTCAGAGTCCTTTTATAACTGCATTATGGAACTTTTAGTGATATAAAATGTACCCAGACTTTAAGATGGAATCTGAGTCAGATAAACTGTAATTTAGTGTTATCAGGATACTGAGAGGCTTCTAAGAGACGATCGTCTTTCGTTAAGAATAACAGTTGTCTATAGAAATCACTATTTCATTTCATAATATTTTATTCTACAACAGTAAATCAATGGTTCAACGGTAAGTCTGAATGCTTATGACGCATAAAATTGGGTTTCGATACCCATGATGGGCACAGCACAGATAGCTCATTGTGAAGCTTTGTGCTTAACAACAAATAAACAGACACAGACATTTATAAGATTCTGTATAACACACTGAACACTCTGTTTGTATCATACTTTATTTATACTGTATAGAAATCAAAATTTTGCTATTTTTAACACAAAACTAGTAAAATATTAGGATTTGGCACTTCAGGATTAACATTATTCTACATTCATGTCCACAGACTTAAGATTTATTGAAAACCAACTTTTATTAAGGATTGGAATTAAATGCTTTCAGGCCTGTTTTAGATGTTTATATCAAGTAATCGACACGCAATTCATACTATCTGGGACAGTAAAACTAAAATTATAATTAACAACAATTTATTTTCCAGACTTTAATCACTCTAGTACACAATAAAAAAATGTTTAACTGCTGTTCTACTTACTGTCAAGCTTCACTTTTCCTGAAAGAGATTCTAATTACAACCTTCACTCAATACAGTGGCCGTGGAAACAAGTAGAAGAATGTTTCAAAGCGCCTTTTTTATACATATAGTATCATGGTAAATGAATTTATGTTAAACTGAGCAACATATTTCTACCTAGTAAGTTTTATTTTTCTTCTAGATTGGCGCATGCTCACATAGTTTCTATAAAGCAGACATTTATATCAATACCTCTCAGAAGCAAACTGCTTTACAAGTATCATATCTTTTAATATTGCGCATTCATACGAGGACGTTAAGACTTTGATCACTGGGTCGAAAGTCAAATAACAAGTAACTACTGTTAACAAAACCTTTGTTTAGAAACTTCTCCAAT